CACAGATCTTCATAGTTCTTTCCTGCCATTATTACTCTGCCTTTTTCTAGGCTGAATGTCAGTCATGTGGTCCTTGTCTGATGCCTGCCAAAGCAGGTAACGATTGCTGTGTTACTGTGGCAGGCTCAGCCTGTTCCCAAGAGCCTCAGCAAGGCAACGCTGCTGGAATCATGGTGCACTGCAGAGTCTGTTGTTGACCCTCGGGCCTTGCAGCCTGTCTTGGTGCAGCCTTGCTGTTCCCTTCCCACTGGTTGTACCTGACACATGGGGTGAAAAACAGCATTTACAAAAAATGCCACACTTGTTGCTGTGTCAGTATGTGGTGTTCTTTCACCCTGCTGTAGTGTCTTCAATAATAGGACTGCAGGGAACAGATAATTCCAGAGAACTAGAATTCTCATTATTCTAGTACCTTGCTTCTGTAGACCTTTGATCCCAACTTTTGGCTTTAGTTGCTATAGGGATAATGATGCATTTATTTCCTTAGCCTCGAATTTGATTTGACCAGACTATACTCCTGCTGTATAAGAAATAAACATTAACAATGGAGGAACAAAGTAACTCTTGAAATATTTAGTTCTGTTGTAGATTCATGTGGCATATTTGCTTCCAGGAAAAACTTGGTTTCTAATGTTAAGTAAGTCACTCAGAGTAAAGTGTGTGAGATGAAAACCAGTGGGGATCTGGGCTGTACAGACGCCCAAGGGGGGAATCGACTTTATGAGGAACTGAATTTGTAGCTGAACTGTGTCACAGTCATCTAACCAGCTGTGTTGTTTCTTTTGGCAGCCAGTGGTGGAATAAAGAAGTCTGGCAAAAAGTAGTTTGATTAAACTGCAGGGTAAGAAGTGATCAAGTTACTCAATGGATTTGCAGACTTCAGAGAGTCATGAAAACTCACTGTCATTTTGGGAACATTGTACATTTTGTTTAGTCTGAATAAATACTTTTTGTTAAGATGTGATACTTTCTCTTTACATCTCAGTTTTGTTTAAAAATGGCTTTACTGTTTTATACTGGAAATGAAATGTGACCTTGTGTACCCTGAGTGCATCTGCTGAGGTTGGTAGTCATTTGCGAGAATAAATTTCAATTTCTGCCCTCTTTTGACAATGGGAGACAGGGTCTGAGCGTTAAAATCTTCAGAGTTTTAATCTGGAGTTTAGGTTTAGCTGCAGTTGTTTGAGATGTGTGCTCTTGTAAGAGCTGCAAGTTTTTTCTAAAGAAAAGTTGGGTTATACTTCCATTTTCAGCACCTTGGGGTCTGTCAGTCTCTAAAACAACACTCCATTCTGTGTTCTTACTTAACAACATTGCAATGCCCTATAGTCCCAGTGCCTCCTGGACATACACTTGCCTTTGTCCTACAAATAGTCACTACACCATGTTTTCCTGAACTTCTGCATATTGTCATCACAGCTCCTTTACACTCATGGAATGCCTTGAGTGGAGGGAGAAGGGAGGGGAACAGTCCTTATGAGACTGTAACTTAACTTTTAAAATGCAGAGCTGTGGCAGTACACTGGGTGTGGAAACCTCAAGGAAGAGTATGATGATCCCAAGGTAGGAGTTAACGGGGGGGGGGGGGAAGAATTAATGCAGAGCCCTTCTTACTGAATAGTAAGAGTGGGACAGAGGCTGCTTCTGCCGTCAGGAGGGGCGGGTGATGGCTGCAGGGAAGGAATGGCTTCTGTGGACAAGGAGGCACTCGGGCTGCTGTGGGGGGAGCTACATGGGAAATCTGGGCTCGTACACATTCTGGGCTCATAAGGAAGAGAGCGCAGGTCTCGGTCGTCAGCGCACGAGGTGCAACTAAGAGGGTTTCCTTATTAAAAAGGACATTTTTAGAAAGCTGGGGGCGGGACCGGGCGGGGCCGCGCCCGGGGGTCCCTCAGCGCGCCCGGGCTCTGCCGCCCCCGCGCGGCGGCCGCGGGAACTGCGGGGGCGCGGGGCCTCCTTCGCAGGGGTGCGGCTGCGCACGCGCAGCGCTTCCCGCCGCCGGAGCTCCTGGGGCGACCCTCACAGTGCCCTCAGTGCCCTCACAGTGTCCCTACAGTGCCCTCACAGTGTCCCTACAGTGCCCTCACAGTGCCCTCACAGTGTCCCTACAGTGCCCTCACAGTGCCCTCACACTGTCCCTCCAGTGCCCTCACAGTGCCCTCACACTGTCCCTCCAGTGCCCTCACAGTGCCCTCAGTGCCCTCACACTGTCCCTACAGTGCCCTCACAGTGCCCTCAGTGCCCTCACACTGTCCCTACAGTGCCCTCACAGTGTCCCTACAGTGCCCTCAGTGCCCTTACACTGTCCCTACAGTGCCCTCACAGTGCCCTCAGTGCCCTCACACTGTCCCTACAGTGCCCCTGCTGCCCGGCGGTGCCGCCCGTTGCAGCAGCCTCAGCTCTAGTGCCAACAGTTCACAGTCGGATCAGGTCCCTGCTGCCCTCCAAAGGGGTGAAGACCAGCCTTTGGCGGCACCAAGAGAGTTGCTGACTCTAAAGGTACTGCTCTGGAGAACAGATTGAGTCCTGCCAACTCACAGAGCTGGTGAAGGCCGGAATTCATGCTTGAATGATTTCTGCGTTTTGGATAAAGGTAACTTCTGTGTCAGAAAAATGTTCCCACAAAGATGTAGGATAAAGGTGCCTTAGATACGGAGCAGGGAGTGCCCTGGGTCTGTGCAGAACGCTGAAGGCAATGAGAGCCACCACTGGTGCATTTTGGGGCAGAGCTCAGTTCCAACACGTGAAACACAACCACAGACACTGTGCTCACAGTTCTGCGTGCTCAGAGTGAAAGCAGAAGCTGTACTTCACTTACATCAGTCATACACTGAAGGGGGCACATCCTTACCCACACTGCCCATGTGCTCACCCATTTTCCGCTGGTATCAAAGTAGGTAATGTGGGGGGAATGGTTTAAAGGAGCAGGAAGAGAGACAGGGAGACAACATCCTCTAGATCTGGCCAGATTATGAGAGAAATAAAACCCTGGCAGCGTATCAATAAGAAATTGTTTGCCCCAGGAGTTACTGAATGAAATGAATGAGGTTGCCAATCCCAGCCAAGCTAACTTGAGGTGGTCTGAGTAGGGGACAGTGAACAGAGATGTGTGCTCCACAGCATGAGACAATATGCAAAAGCCTTTCAGCCAAAAATCAAGACAAGAGGGAAGAAGACCAAATGGCAAAGTGACAGATCTCTGCTGTGGGAGAGCTGTTCTCAATAGGCTTTACCTTAATGTAGGCACTCAACTGCCCTCCTGGCCAAGAGTCCTCCTGTGTTTTATATTAGGCTGTGGAAATGAAGCTGAACAAAGGAACAGTTTGATTGTATCTTTTTGCATAACATTATGTAATAAATGGGATTTCATTCCTTACTGCAGCTCCAGCTCAATGTTAAACTAATGCAAAGACAATATAACTCCTAAATCACATATATACATAAAATGACAATGGTCTGAAGGGCACAGAAAAAACAAAGTCCAAAAAGCAGTAGGAAATGGGTGTCAATTAAAATAGCAGCAGAATAGATGCAAATTTTCTTTGCAGGGAAACCCATTGAAAGATACAATTGCCATAATCATTTCAAGTCAAGCTCTACTGTTTTAAAGGACTTTTCCCACTCTTTAGAGTTAGTTCAGCTCTAAGGAAATCATACCCTGCTCTGAATGGCTTCCAGATACTGATTCATGTGAGGTCTCAAAAAGGAAGCTTCTCTAGTGTAAGTAAGCCAGCCTGGAGAACTGGATGTGAACTTCTGCTCTGCCATAGATTTGCTTTGGGACCTTCTGTAAGACATTTTGCATTCTAGTTTTCTTCAAAATGGGGAAAGTGGTATTCTCTTACTTCTGAATAAGATTCTGAGACTTAATTAATAAATAATTGTAATGTACTGTTCCTGCTCTGCAAATTCCAGTGCAAAAGCCCGTGATGCAGGAGCTGAGGCTAAATCAGAGTTTGAGGACAGTGAATGTGCTCTGCATGTTGCTGAGCTTGCTCAGTCACCTTGAACATGTCATTGTTCACCAGACTTTGCAGAGCAGCCTGAGATCCAGCTGAATCACACAACAAGAGCACATCAGCTCTGTCTCTTTGGCCAGTTCACTGTTGCATTCAGTTGTTCACTATTTTGACATTATCACTGCCATTTAACAGTCTACAAAACTGCCCATTCTAGCCTGCTTTTCTAGGTCTTATCCTTGTATGAGATTCTAAAAGACAAGTGGAGGCATCCAAATTACCTTCAGAAATAAAAATCTTCTACGTGGCAAGTAAGTATTATTCTCATTTACTAAGATCCTGAAATAAAAGTTTGTTTGGTAGAGGTTGATCTGCTTTTATATGTAATGACTCAAATATCACAGGTTTTGGGAAAAAAGTATTAAATAAAATAAAGCCATAAATATAATGGCTGATACAAGAAAACTGCACTTAGAGAATTATGAGAGCATTTTCTAAAGCAGTAAGACAGTAATTTCAGGTGTCAAGGCTTCTGCTTCAGTGAAGTGTTTATTTTTAGCCTAACCATCATTATTTATTGATTCCTGCAATGCCTCTCTCCACTCTAATATGCTGCACAGAATTATGAGCTACATACAGACCTCAGGAAGGCAGAAGCCATTACAACCATGTGAACCCCCACTGTTCACTAGATAATATTCTGCACTTCCTAAAGGCAGGAGATTAGGTAGGTAACAAATTTCCTAAAATCCTTCTATATTTGGCAGCCTGCCATTTCCATACTGCTTCTACAGATATCACTGAACTTGTAGGACCTCCAAACCAAAAGCCAGCTGGGGAGCAACAGAGCAAAGAAAGAGTTTGATCTTTTGAAAGAAAGTCATTCATATACCCTTAAATTCAGGTGTAAATGGCAGAGAGTTAAAATTAAACCTGTACTGAACTAAATAAGTACTCCCATAAACCCCACATAATTTTAGCAAAGAGAGAAGAATAAAAAAGTACCAACAGGGAAAAAGGGCAACTGTGATGTAAAACAGCTTAGGTGTTCATGAGATTTATTGTGATCTACTTACAGAAACTTGTTTTTCCCACATGTGGGAAAATAATATTCTTGCTGAGCAGATAATTCTATTTCAGTTCTTTAGATCACGGGTTTTGCCTATATTTTTCCTCAGCTCAAGTCACTTGTCTGTAGTAAGACAGCATATCATCTAAACTTTGGTAAAGTGGTTCCTGCTTTGGGGTGTCACTGCTGTCGGTCTGCACTGGAGGTGCCACATCCTGGGTGCTGCAGCCGCTGCCCTGCGTTCCTGGCGGCACATCTTGGGCGCTGCTGCCACACGTGTGTGTTCCTGGTGGCACATCCTGGGTGCTGCAGCCACAGACCTGTGTTCCTGGCGGCACATCTGGGGTGCTGCTGCCACAGGTGTGTATTCCCGGTGGTACATCTTGGGTGATACAGCCGCAGGTCTGCATTCCCGGCGGCACATCCTGGGCGCTGCAGCCACAGCTGGGTATTCCCGGTGGCACATCCTGGGCGCTGCAGCCACAGCTGGGTATTCCCGGCGGCACATCCTGGGTGCTGCAGCCACAGGGCTGCATTCCCGGCGGCACATCCTGGGTGCCGTAGCCATAAGCCTGCATTGAAAAGGGCACCTCGTGAGCTCCGTAGCCGTGCACTGGTGGCACCATCCCTGGCGTGCCGTAGCCATAAGCCTGCACTGGAAAAGGCACCTCGGGAGCGCCGTATCCGTACGCCGGCATGGAGGGCGGCACAGCCCGGGCTCCGTAGCCGTAAGCCCGCATTGCCGGCGGCACAGCTCGGGCACCGTAGCCATAACCCTGTGCTGGGGGCAGCCTGTCCTCATCGTCACTGCTGTCATCCTCTCCTGATGATGAAGCCTCCTGAGTGTCATGGCCAGAGGCCTCTGCTGGTGCTGCCTTATCCTGAACGTTGCTGTTGGAACCAGCGCTGCTGCCGTTGCCCTGCACCGATGGCATCTGTTGGTTCTGTGCCCTCTCTGTTTCCAGTTTTTCAGAGGAGGTTTCAGGACTGTTCAAATTTCGACTTCGGTAATTATCATCTTTCTTTTGTCCCAAAAAGTAATCAGAAGGTGGTGCAAATTCTGGATCTCGCTCATCTCTAAGTTCTTCCTGTTTCTTTTCCCACAGCCCAAACATCAGTTCTGTTAGAAACAGGAAAATGGTAGATTTAGCACAGATTTCAGGGGCTGAAGGTCAGTCAGAAAGGGGAGAAAACAAATTAGCAAACAGAGCATATACAACTGTGTAAAGCCATCTGAAGTTACTTTTCCACCGAGTACTACATGGAAATATGAGAATCTAGTGCAGATTCCTTTACTGAATCATACTTATTTCACTTTGCATTTTAGATTAAGCTGCTCTCTGCTTCCTGAGTGTAATATTTGCTGCATAGTGCAGTGCTGCTTGAGTGTCAGATACTAGGATTCCTCAGAGGTAGGCAAAAAACAGTGTCCGGCGGGAATAGGATTTAACAGATAGGGTCTGGAAGTTTGGAGTTTTAATGGAACCACAAAGTTTCCCCTCACAATGTGTCATCACTTTTTATCCTCATCCTGTACCTATTTGTGTAAAACATCCTGCCATCATGTAACACAAACCACAGAAGTACATCAAGAAGAAAGCACACTGAAAGACAGTAAATCTTACGAACTATGAAATTTGTCATTCTGTCAACCTGTCTGGATCATCCAGAAATGGAATAACTCATATAGAAGAAAAAATTATGGGAATGTTACAGCAGCTACTGGCACTTGTCGGTCACTGCCCTGGACACTGGATAGCCATCGATACCAAGGCAGAAAGGATTTCATTGCTTCTCAGTCTTACCATACTTCGTCACAAAACAGAAATGAAAGTAGCAGCATGCATGTTGTTTCCCAATGATGTTCCTGAATCTACATTTTCTTACCTTTGCCTTTATCCCACTCTCGGACATAAGGCACACCAGGCTTTGTATCTCTTCTCTCCTGGATGACAACCTCCACCTTCCTGCTTGCTGCAGTAACCCTCGGAGGTTCTGGCTCCTCAGTAACAGCTTTCAGCTCTGTGTTACAGGAAGAGACAGCAGGGTTTGTCAGTTACAGGATAAAATCTATATGAACCTCACAGGTAAAAATAAGAATGTTAGCATGGTATCTACATTTCATTTACTGGATAAAACAATTTACGTTCTTATTCTTCTGAACAACTGTAACAGTGAGTTACTGTTCTTCCTTTCCGGAACACACAGTTAATCACTGGCATAGAATTTTGACACAGTGAAATATTAGCTACATTTTACAGTGGGAGACAGACAGTAAAAAGTTGACTACCAGTGTCATAAGGGAGACAGTGCAGAGATAGGATTAGAATTCAAATTCATTATCCTTAATCCTACAGTCAGCTGTATCTCCAATTTACAGGCTGCATTGAAACTGTTATAGTGTATATTGAGTGATATAAAAAATAACTTGGTACTCCTTTTTATTTCACCCCCTCTTAAGAAAAAAAGCTAGTAAAATGTCAGCAACTCTAACCTCAACCTGCATAATTAACTCATATAATTCCTGCTGTCAGGTGGGAATCAAAAAAAGGCTACAATCTACATACTATATTTCTACCTACATTACTAATCTATTTCTAGCATGATTTTATATCTACACACATATGAACTCTCGCTATCCTAACAATTACACTAATTGTATATATACAACACACAATACCAATACAAATTAAATGTCCAAACATAAATCTAAATTAGAGTCTGCCTGTCCATAGATCAAGTACAAGCTGAAATAACAAAAACTTAAAAAGGCAGCAGTTCATACCTCCATTCTCCAGTTTTTCTGCCTCTTCTTCTAATCCTGCTTCCCTTAACTTTTTAACCTTCCGTGCTCGAAGTTTGGACAGCCTTGCATCTAGAGCTGCCTTTCTCTTCTCTTTTAGCTGTTCGCGTTTAGTCCTCTGATCAAGTGTCTTAACAGCAAAGAAAAAGATGAATTAATCTCCCTTCACAAAGCAACTAAAAGCAATCCTTATCAAGTACCAGGTTTAACAGGAAAAAAGGAGCCTAATATCTTTGAAGTCAGGCATCACCTGGTGTAACACTCCCAGAACAAATCCAAGACAGTGACCACCGAAAGGAGGCTCCCTCATGCCCCAGTCTGCTCTCCACACTCATACCTGCTCCCTCAGCATGTCCAGCGTTGCCCGCTGTTTATGCCTGAGTTCTTGGTCCCGAGAAAAGGCAAAGTAACCAACACCAAGCTGTCTGGCCTCTGAAAAGGAGAAACCCAATAAATTTAAGTTAGTCAGTTTACAATAGACAGTAACTACAGGCAGCAGGCACCCTGCTTTCAGGAATGGAATTACTCCCAACAACATACATTGCACAGGTGGCTAAAAAGGGCTTGTTTTAGATGATACATAAAGTGAAGCTTCCTGAAGGAGAACAGAGGAGGAGTTTCTGAGAAATACATTTGAGAAAAATACAATTTGAAGAAAAATAGATCTAGATTTAAGGACTGGTAAATTATAACAGTTACAACACATACCTACTCTTTTTCATACAGACACAGGAAGCAACTTTCCCTTGCTTCCTCTACAACTAATCTCTTTGGTGATACAAAGGTAAGTGATACAAAGTATGGCACTGTACCATTTTCTCGAATGTCCTCATAATGTATGGGTCCCATGGGTTTTCTGAGGGCTTCTTCTTCTTCCTTTTCCCACTGCTGCCTCTGAAGTTCTCTTCTCATATCTTCAGATAACAGAGTATTCCCATCAGGTTCTTGTCTAATTAACAACAACAACAAAAAGTTAGGGATTACAGAGCAGAACTTAACAGTTTTACAGTATCAAACAGTGAAAGTATGATTGGGTCTGATCCACTATTGCAGCTTTCACAAAACACAGATCATTGTAGGCACCACTTAGTGATACAATGTTGATGATTCTGGTACATGAGGACAGAAATACAAAGTTACCTCTAGAACAAAGTATTGGCAGAACATGTTAATAAAGACTAACAAAATTATATCCTTTTTCAGACGCTTTATGAAATTATTATCAAATCACAAAACAGAAGATGAAATAATCATGGTTATTGGTATCTGTGGGGATTCTAACAATCACATAGAGAAACATTTCAGATGTAACATAAGAAAATGAAAGGTATTTGAAATAATAAAAAGCCATTTACCCTACAGGTCCATGCCAAATATTAATACCCAATACGGAAATAATTTTAACAGAAGACCTGTCAGCTGTTTAATGGAAGAGCAAAACCAAACAAATGGAGGTCAAACAAATTAATTTTAAACATGATGAATTTGGAATTGGTAAAAGACTATTGTCAGTTTCCAGGTTAAACAGAACCAGGAATCACTTCCCTGGCATTTTATGGAAGGTATAATAAAATATGGTTTCTATACAGGGGCCCCATTTTAAAAGACACAACAAATATCTGAGATTGCTAAGTCAATTTATTAAAACCTTTCTCTGCAAACTATGCAAATCTAGAGAAAGCAGTACCATCAACAACTATGGATTGAGAATGGGGTGACAAAGCACAGCCTTGCTTCCTTCTCATTAAAACAATGTATGTTAAATACTGAGAGGAATATGCAGCTCCATTAGAGAAACCACACCTTTTCCCTTGAAGTTCCTGATCCATTTTAAGTAGACTTGGCAAATCCTTCTTCATACAGCGTCTAGACCGGCCCAAGAAATCAACATAATCAACCCTGTCATTAAAGAAAAAGAGATTTGATACAAAACTCCTATTTGCAGATTTACAGAAATCTTAAGCAGAAGGTAGAAGTAGCAACACTTTCCAAAGGGTATTCATCACCTCATAGTCTCTGTGTGTGACAGCTGCCTCTGCTTTTCACTTCACATGCTCTGAGGTTAAGAGGACACATTGTGAACAGGGCATACAACAGTTGTAACAGGCATTTACTCAATCTTCCTTTGAGCTCAATGTTCGCCTTGGCAATAAAATGGTGTAAAAGATGTTCAAAAGTAACAATGTTACATAACTTTAACAACAAGATGAAACTCAGTCTATTGCTTGCTTCCCATGGTGAAAATAACGACACAGCATCGATTTCTTGTGGATATGAAATTGTTACAGTACATTTCAAATATCAGTCTAAGGCTCATTCCGAATAGGCTGATAGTGTGTGTTCAACTGGCATAACAAAGGCTGACTAAAATGCAAGTAAAATGTTCCTTTGAAGCCATTGTGCTTCTTATTCAACTCTTTATAGTATTGAACACTTGATTTACAGTTGTCAAAAAAGCTGCTAAGAGCTGTACTTATTATCCTGCATTGAGCTGCCTCAATTATCCCATTCTAAATAACTGATATTACATCTGAAAAAGTATGTCTGCAATCTAGTTCCAAAACCCAAACTTTTAAAGATCTGTACTTTTAGTAAGTTAAGCCTTTTACACAGTTTCTAAGGATATCTACAGTTTAGTATATACTCGGTGGCCTTCAGTTTTTATTGCAATTAAACATCAGTAGAAAAGAAATCCGCATTTTCTATAGTAAAGATTTAACTATGGCTGCAGAATAATTAGCATTAATTATGCTAACACCCAAATATCCTCATTAGGATATGGCCTCACTGAGATGGCCAATAATATGTGTCACTGATGAGAGATGTAGCAATGATAGCAAAGCACCCTGTGAACAGTAAAATGTATCAGTTTAATTTTCTGATACTTAATGGTGCTGGCAGCACAAAGCAGTTTGAGCCCACCACTCATTGGTAGTTTCGTCTTGAATTTGAGTATGATGCTGGTGAGGGGTCTCTCTGCCTTTCCACCTCAGCTGTCTGCTGGAATTCTGCTGGATTCATTCTCCCAGCTTATTCTGAGACATTAAATTGCAAATCTTATCTTGGCCGAATAAACTGAGGAATGGTGGTGCTGTTTTGTATTGGTTACTGCTGGTTTAAACTGATTACCAGAAGTGAAATCTCATGTTCCTTAAGCATTTCAAACAAATGGACAAGGAAAATGTTTAGTCAGACTGGTTTCTTAATTATTCCTAACGTCTTAGATGAAAAATTAGTTGTTACTTGGAATGACACAGAAAACTCTCAGAGACTATTTGCTGTGCTGCAGTTAAAAAGTGGAAGAAATGCTGGAAAATCATGTTCCTATTCTAATCAGGGTTTCTCTCCTTTAAGAGGAGGTCTTACAATGAAATAACTGCTCATTTTGTAAGTCAAGCACAATTAAAGAAGGAAAGATGAATACAATAAAACCCCCAAGTTTTTCTAAAATACATTTCAATTCAGCACATCAAAGTGTAAAATTGTACCCAGACTGTGATCAGAACTCCCATAAACTATGCAAGAAAATAAGAGTGGATATTATGATGTCTCCCTTATAGTACATTTCTCTGAATGCTATTTCTCAAAATCCTGAACGTAGATTCTATTGCAGGGTTACCTGCGTGGACAGGAAAGTAACATGAAGGACTGTCTTTAAAGGAGAAATTAAAGAATGTTACCACCTCTTCTCAATGTGCAGTATTAAACAAAAAAAATAAAAAAAAGGACGCCACTTCACAAACTTTGGAGAATAATATTATTTTCACATGCATTAGTCAAGAGGTAGCCAAGGACAGAGAAGCCCAGTCAGTAGCACCAACCATTCTTCCTCCGGGTCCTCGGGCGGTGGAATGTCTGCTTCAGGTTGAGTTTCCTCATCATCTGACTCTCTTTCTGAAGTCTTTCCAGCAGTTTCTCTCTGACCCAGCTCCTGTACTTCGTGCCTTTTGTCTATGATCTTCTGAGTGAAATCCACCAGGTACAAATCCTCGGTTTCTTCATCTAAGGCAGAAAATCGATTCTCAGAGAACAGCCACGAAAAGAACAGAGCTGAGCACAAAATCAATACCAAATAGCTACAATCAGCTTTTCAGCTGCCAGCAATGCCCTTGCCCACGCTATTGGGGAATATTTAAACCTCATTCAGTGCCAAACAAACCCGGAGCTATCAACTGGCTCCACGGTGATAACATCTATTTCTGAATCGAAGTTTTAGGGTATTGTGCACAGAACAGAAAAGGCTGCATTCTCTGCAGCAAAACATTCTCTGCTCATTAACTATTTCAGAAGCAAAAGGTTTGTCATGTAACAGCCCAATACTTTTTTGATGCTTAACATTTGGTGTGTTGGCAGCAGCCAAGCAGTCACAAGGGCACTTTTTAGAAAAGTAGAGAAAAGTGGTGGGGTCATGTGGACAAATATGGACACTAGTAAAGAAAACAGAGATTAATGGCAAGGGGATTTGTATTTTGTTTTAATAACTGTTTCTTGCAAGGGACTGAATGCGTGAGAGAAGAAAGGGACAGATTAGCATTTGCTAACTCCGTTAGCTGCATGACTGGCATTCATATATGGACCAGTCAGACTCCCCTCCTGCTCCTCTTCTCTTCATAAATGTCCAAGAATTAGAATGCAGGACAGAACACCAGCAATGCAATCCAAAGACTGCACAATGGAGAATAAATTAATTTTGTTTTTCTAAGATACTGTACTGAAAAAAACAGAATATAGTCCACCCACCTAGTGAATGAGTCAAACAAGCCCCTAGTGCTTTACTACGTCAGGCAGTCCTTCAAAAAGTAATTATTTTATTTTCTCTAGCAAATTTATTTTTTCTCCCTTTCAAAGCAGAATAACGCATGTGAATCACTTCATATAAACAACTTGAAAAAATTTCCCATGAAGACCAGCAGTGAATTCATAGCATAGTTGCTGTCAAACACCACACAGTCAGAAATACCAACTTTTAGGGTGAACTTCTCAAAAAAACTGTGGATATATATACACACACACATATACATATATATATATGCAAAATACTCATTTTAGACTGGTTTTATTTCACCTGGAAAGTCGCCTTTTGTCATTTTCTCATACAGCTTTGCTTTCTCTTCTAGCTTCTTCCTGAAAGAGAAAACAAAAAATGAACATTGCAATCCCACCAATTCCAAACATAGATCAAAGTGATCAATTTAGCCTTAGATAAATGGAACTGGAAAGTACTGGGAGTGCTTGAGATGTTTATTAGAAGCTGACTTATCCCTGGGTTTTGTTTTGAACCTTCACTGGCATTTCTGAAGATACACAGTTATCCAGTTCCAGAGTTTATACTGAAAATAATTTTAGTGAAGTTACAGAATTAATCTTAAGTGTTATCTGTCAAGTAGGCAAGAACATGATGTAACAAGTATTCCACCTCTATCTAACTACTATGGTCTGTCAGATAAATACTGGAACCTAAATTATTATTTGCAGGTGTGAGATAGTGGAAGACAGTTTTACAGAAAAAAAAAGGAAAAAGAGATAACGTGGAGTTATTCTTCAAAACTGAAGAGAAAACTGTAGCTAATTTCTGGAATCGTAGAAGACGATTTTGAAGAGCAAGGAACTACTTAAAGAAGAACAGCAAATAGCTTACAAATGGCATTTTCAACACATATCTTTTTGTACAACCAACCCATTTAGAAAATGAGGCAATCCTTGCAAGAAAGTAAGCCATTTTCTGTTAATTCCAAGAAACACTTTGCTAGAGAATTCTAAAGTGTTGCTGTCCTGGCTTGTGATTCTAAAGATGACTTAAAAAAAAAAAATTAACCTGACACATTTAGACAATTGTGATAATGTGAGGGCAGCTATCCCTGCATGAACAAGACACTGCTGGGATGCAGTTTGTACATTACTGGTAAAGAGCATGGAATTGATGCTGGTCTTACTGGTTGGTCTAATGACAACTGCTGGCCCAAAACGTGTGTAACTTGCTTTTTGTGCTTTTCTAAACACTGAAAATCACATTCTACAAAGCACTCCTTTCTTACAGAGCCTAAGAGCTACCTTGACTGATCCAATATGTCCTGCTCTTCTGTCTTCTGCTCAACATCTTTTGAGGCTCGATTTGCAACTCCTGTGTTTTGTTTGGTCCAGATGCTTGGTTTCTGTAGAGAACCATTTTGTAACAACAAATAAATGAAAATACTGAAACGGTAATGATTACAAAAATATTTCAACTCCATAATGCAAACACTGCAAATCAGTCATAAAAGACTCTGTAAATAACACCTTAAACATGTTTGACTTGAGACTATACCTGTGCTGTGGAATACAGCAGGTATGTCCTAAATTAACAGAGACTCCAGTATGGTGTCAGAGGGAAGGACAGGCTGAGAAGCTAAAAAAACCAAAGGCACTCAAAAAACAGATAAAATCTATTCTGGCAAAGATGTTAAGGTTAAAAAACCCCCCCCCAACAATCTTGCTAATTAAGAACGTAGTAACAAAGCTACAGATTGTTTCTATTCTCCATTACCTCCATCAGTTGGCCTGTTTGCAGGGTAACACTGTAAAAGCTGTGTGTGTTTGAAATATGGCAGCAACAGCACATTCTGCTTCTAGAAAGCTAAACAATGAGTAAAATCCAGAGTGCAGTAAAGAGCAAAACACGAGAGATAACTGTGTGTTCGTTATTACACATCATTAACACACAGCAGAGCTTTTAGCAAGGACAGTGACTCTGGAAGAGTCTCATCCTCCATCCTTTGGAACCATACAAGATCTTAGATGAAAGAAACACCTTTTCCTATAGTTACAAAAGCTGTGGATCCTTGGGGAATGAAGATTAACAGGTGATTTAGATGGGCATAAGCACAATATTAAGTTTTCTGCTGTGCACAAGAATGTCACCAGAAAATGAAATTTAAAGAACAATCTCATCACGTACATTTTATATTTGACCAGTAACACAGCTCTAAGCATGTATTTATATTTGAATATTAACTTCCTTACTTTAAGGAGAAAGAATGACAAAAACAACAATGGAAAAATATTTCTACCTTATTAGAGGTTCTGGGCTTTGCAAAGACACCAGCATCTTTCAATAGCTTTTCTTTCTTGAATTCCTCTTGCTTTCGGAAGAGTTCGGCTTTTAGATCTACCAGCTACATCACCAGCAAAACAACAAATAAATAACCAGGACATATCACAAGTACAGTCATCAGTTACTGCAATAAATAACTGTATTTCTAGTAAAACAGTCTGCCATTTACAGTTATATGAGCCTTTGATTGCATTTTTATGTGGAACTTCAAAGCAGTGATCTGATCACAGAGACCACTCAAGTTTACAGCAGACATACAGAATGTCAATTATGATTAGGGAGTAAAACAACCCCCAAGGATATCCTTGGTTCTTTTCTACATGAGAATAAGGGAGACATAATTCCATACAGATCTTACCAGCCTCCTGAGGGCAAACAAATAGAGAAGGACTAATGAAATAACACTACTGAATACAAAAAGGGAACTTTTAAATACTAGATAGTGAATAAAATCCTGTCTTGGGAAAGCATTGATAAAAGTTTTCTTTCATAAAATATATATTGTTTCCCACTGTTTTATATACTGTTTATATAGTTTTAGATTTTCTTTATTTTTCGTGGGGTTTTGTTTGTTTGTTTGTTTGTTAGTTTTTCCTAAATATATAAGTGGCATTGCCATCTATGACCAAGGTCCATCTCAGCTTTTATTAGGAAAAAACATCATCAGCAGGGATGATATCTTGGAATTACAAAACTAGTCTGGAAGAAGATATTGTGCCACTTTCCCTGCAAGTCCTACAGAAGACAAATTTCACAGATGTACATGAAATGAGGAAAGCAGAAGACTATGGCATTAATATTTGTCCCAAGAACGAAAGCATTTACTTTTCAGGTCCCTAGAATAATGACGTGTAGTGTTGTAAAATCACCCTTTCCCCCACTGTTTAGAAGTGCCCTAATTTCATAATTACATTAGGAGTGAAAGCAAATCCAGCCCGGGCACACTCGGGTTTGGAGGGCAGCGTGTGCTCCTGGTCAGGAAAGAAAGGGGCCCAAACCCCAACGCCGAACATCTCAGACCCGGGATGTGAAACAGGGCGTCAGAACAGTCCTTTAATTCAGCGTTTGCTGCAAGGACCGTGCACCTCAGTGGGCTTAAGGCGAGGGCAGCATCTGCACCAGCACCACCAGCACCATTCCCCTTTCCCGGTGCCCTGTTTTCCCTGGAAGCGGTGGCACCACCGCATCCCAGGGTCGAGCCGCACGGCCTGCACCGGCCGGGCCCATCCCGCGCGCGGGCTCCCCGCAGCTGAGCACAGCCGGCCGCCCTCCCAGCCCTCCCAGCCGCGCGTGGGGAGGCGAAGGGGCTCATTTCGCCGCTCCCCGGCCCGTGACTCACCGAGGACGCGGCCACGTCCAGCGGCTTCTTCCTCCGGTCCATGGCGGACCCGCCGCCTTCCGTGCGGCCCTGCCGTAAAGCGCGGCGACCGCGCGGCGCTGTCGTGACAGGTGGTGAGGGCGGGCGGGCGCCCCCTGCCGCCATGTTGGGGAGGTCAGGGCAGGGCATGAGAGGAGACATGGGAATTTTACTCACAGTACCCCGGAATGCCCAAATAAGGGACGGTATAATCTTAGAGAAGTCCCAGAGAATTAGATAAGGGATGCAGCTCGAACGAGCAGGGTGTAAACTAAGCCCCATGTTCCCAAATAAGATAAAGAATGAGCGTTACAGTTTTTGGTGGTGGAACACAATGACACTGTGCCTGCTCAAGAACTGAGGTCGAGATGATGGAGAAGACCTGGAAGGACCAAAAAAGGACTTCCAGTAGGGGTGTGAAATGAGGGTTTCTGGCAGGCACGGGCCAAACCCTTCAGGTCTCCTGTCAGAAACCTCCCTGTGCAGCTGCAGGGCTGGAGCTGCTGTGGGGATGCTCTGGGCTGGGCCACTGCGGCCAAGAATTGAGCTTGGCAGTGGCTAAATGAAGAAGTGCATGGTTGAAGCTTGCTACCAGTGTTGTCCCAAACACAGGCTTATTACCCAGGGCCAGTACCAGTTCACACACTGAGGAGAGGTATTGCTGTTTTCTATTCTAGTTTGCTCCAAGTGGGGACATGGGTGGTAACCCATGAAAGGCTAACTCACCTATTGTCAAAATTTCACACTATTCATACATTTTAACAAAGGCATCAGCATTCACTGGTTACAAATCACAAAACTTTTCTCTTAATTAGTATTCAACACCCAAGTTATATCTCTCACTTCTCATGCTAATTAGTCCTCAGGCACAGTTCTTCCTTCTAGTTGAGTCTGAGGTCTATTTTGAGTAGGTGATCAATGAGTTGGTGGTCATGATCTCCCACTGCTGGAATTACCTTTCCCACAGTTACTGCTCAGTGCTGACTTTACTCCTGGTGGCTCTCGTCCAGACAGCCCATTCCTCTTGGGATTGTGTTCTCTTTTCCTTAAAACAACAGATTAGCCAAGCATACGATGCTCACAATGCAATTATTAATCATAACTGTCCACCTACAGCTACTGATTAACAACTGAAAAAAAAATTGCGAACTTTGACTCAACCCCCTGTTAAAATTTTGAGGGGCTTGATATCATCAACAGAAAAAAACAACAACAAACCAAAAACCAAACCACATCAAAAAGTCCCAAGCACAGCCAGGAAAAAAACCCCAAACAACCCCAAAACTCTCTGTCCTGCCTGATAGGTGAGTGCCACAGAGATGAGAGCTGGAGACAGCCATGTCCCTCAACACCCATCTGGGTTCAGCACCACTGCCCTCTGGGTGCCTTGTCCAAGCCCTGTGTCTGTCCTGTTGTCCTCGGCTCTCTGCCTGCATGGATCCAGCTGAGGGAGGTGAGATTTCAGTCACAGCTTTGCAGTACCAAAAAAATGTCGTCCATAACAGCCAAGTACAAACTCACCTACAGCTCTGTAACCTCAGAGAGGAGCACAGGTGGCTGTGGGGGAGCAAGGTTCAGTTTTACTTATGCTGGGAAGCTCTTTGCATCCTTTATCATCCCCCTGGAGAAATGGGACTGTCTGATAGGTTTTAATTCAAAGTGATTCTGAAGAATACATTTTAACTGTGGTTGCAAGAGGAAGCTACCTTTCACTTGTCTTTATTAAAGTGGAAAAATATAAGGTACTCTGATGTTATTGCTTGGCAGTGTGACAGCTGATAGAAGCACCAGATACAGTTCTTTTGATTTTTGAAATTTGCTGCCTTTGTGCTTGGCAAGCTGGGTCAGGCCCATATTTAATAGTTTATGGACACAGGATTGCAAAGCTGACAGAGATACTCAGTTGCTAAGAAAGCTGCACCAGTATTCCAGGGAGTGTGAAGTGTGCATTTGAGAAAGAGCAATTCTGGCTCTAGTGAAGCTGTCTTGCTTTTGGTTTTTTAAAAGGAGAAGGGGAATTGGTGAGAGACAACAGATACAGAGAAGTACAGGTCATATCAGAGCCATGAAGTTTAGTATTTTCATCTGCAGTGGAAGAAAAGAAATGAGCATTACTGAAAAATAGGACAAAGGAATAGAAACATCTGTGCTGTTCTAATTTAATCACACTTCAACAAACCTCACCTAACAACAACACTGAGAAGAAAAGATGGCCCAAACCCAGCCTCAGGTTGGTCCTGATTAATTCCCACCTTTTATTTGGAGGCAGTGTCTGTGAGAGCACATTTCCCCCCTGAGGTGCATTGCTCATGTTCTACATTACAGCAACAGGACTCTCTCACCTGTCAGGGTTTCCAGTGTTCCAGGTGTTGAGCACTTTCAGGAGCTCAGGAGTATTTTTATCTTGAGATTCTCATAACATGAAGCTCCTGAAGAGCTGACAGCCAGACTTGATTCTGGATATCTCCTTACAACTGCAGGTGCAAAAACACATCAGGAAATCTTGGTCTATTGAAAACTTGGCCTGTAGAATATAATGGCTGTGGCTAAGATGGATGGTTGAGGCTCTGGGATAGAAACTCTACGTGACCAGCTTTGGAAATATAACACTAGACACTGTGTAGGTACTGCAATGCTTCTTGATCTTTTCTGACTTAAATGTGAAATGATACAAGTGCTGAGTCTATTTAGGATACTACTCTGGAAGCCAATTTTTACCTATCTTTTGTCTCTCCCCTCCAGATGCCTGAAACAAACCTTTGCTTGCAGGATTCCTTGGCACAGCCTAAACCCCAGTGAGGCTCTTTGCAGCTCCTTACTTCATTCTGTCCTCACTGCTGCATTTTCCCCTATGACTTGCCCATAGCTCTTGTAGCTTGTGACACCATCCTGACTTCAACTCCTTGTAGCACTTTTCTTCTTTACAAGCAAACTGGTCCTGTCTTGTAACGTTAGAAGCATGTTCTCTTTTTCCCTATCTACAAATCTGTTTGGTTTTTCACTTGCTCTCTCCTTCCTGGACTCTGTTTTGTATTTACCTGTCTGAGCCATTCTGGAACAGCACTCTTTCTGTTTTGGGCGCTGTAAAAAATGTCTCAGTATCATTTCAGCAGCTGTCTATGTATCAGGTGTTACTTGGATAGTCTTAGGGATAGTCTTGGAATGAGGCCCCTGGAGGTCTCAGCATCACTCTTAAAATGTTCTTTCTAGTTGAGGGTGAGATTCATCATCAGGGTTGTAGGGAAAAGCTGTGTTTTTGTAGGGAAAAGCAGTTACATGACAGGATGTAGAAAAAGGAATTAATATCAGAAACATTAATTCCAGCAAGCTGGCTCATGTTGCTGCGAGCGAGGATCTGCACTTGCAAGAAGACAGGTTATTTCATGGGTGGCAGAGGTCTGGCTGGGCATGCCTGGATTGGGAATGAGTCAGAGTCACTGATGCCGTACATAACTGATGGAGTCGTGCAAGGAGATAACCTTTAGCTCACGTTCTCTCCCGGTTAACGTCAGCAGGCAGGGATAAAAGCAGACCCGGGCGGGAGGAGCGAGGCTCCTGCTGTGGCCGCGGGGTCGCCCTGCCGGGCTCCCCTGGAGGTGGGATTCGGCACCGAGTGCTCACCCACTCAGATGGCCTTGGAGCACTGTGTGTCGGTTCAGTGGTCCTGTGTTTACAGCCAAAGAACTGACAAGCTTTCACATATATTGTTCCCTCAGAAAGGCTCGGTGTCAATTCTAACCCGTGGAGGGTTATTCTGTGCATTTTTTTTAAATCCAGCCCACAGGCATTCATAAAATGCCAGTGAGGGAGAAATAAGAATATTTGCGGGTTGTGAAGCAAAATCAGCTTAACACAAAGAAATTAGGTGAGGAAGGGGAGGAATCTATCTCTATGTGTACAGTAGAGCCTCAGTGTGGCTTTGCTGTGCTTATTTCTTATCAGAAATATGTGAAAGCTGTATAAGCTACCGTATCTGATCTCAGACTGCTGATAGCCCTGAATTCCTGGGGAATAATTGATTCAGCAATTCCAATTAGTATGCTGCTCATTTTAGCATGAGGCCTAATTGTGTTTATTTCCACAAAGCTGCATCAACACAAAAAGCTTGTTTGTTATTTTTGAGGAAGATGGGAGATCGCAGTGGATTGTTCTAAGGGGATTTTGTATGAAACAGTGGTGTTTCAGTGTCTTGTAAAATTGGTGAGAGATGCTGCACAAACTTGAATCAGTTGCAAAACTTTGGTGTGGATTCCTCCTACACCCCCCTACCAAAACTAGACTTACAGGAGCTCCAGACCAAATTATATTGATGTTTGGAGGATTTGCTTTTCTGAGACTGATTCTCTTATCACAGACAATAAGGTTTCCTCCTACCCTAAGGCCTTGATGTCTGTCTTACTTTCTACATTTTGGCTTTAAGATAAAAAGAAACCAGGCAAATAAAAGCTGGACATTTTGTGAGATAAGCCTCAGTGCCAGGGCACTGTGTCCTCACACACTTTCAGAGCCACTCAACATAAGACAACTCATCCATGTTTCTCTAAGAGAGGGAGAAATTCCTTCTGGCTTTCTGTTAAATTTTTTTTCAGGCTCTTTGTCTTAGAAGTTATCATATGAAAACATTTGTGCTATGTCAACAAAAATCTTTTCTAAAACAGAGGAAGTTTTTTTTTTTTTTGCTTTCCATAGTTTTGCATATTTTTGCTCAGCTGGTGTATAAGTTTGTGGAATCTGTGTGTCTTAGTGTGTATGAGGCCAAAAATGACTGTGGCAGAAGCAAAATTTTTGCAAACTAATTGTTCCAACATCAGAGATCCAGAAGTGTGTATTTCCTTCATAGCAGAGATTACATCTCTTCTCAAAATAAAGTCCCAGCATACCTTTCTTTACTTACTTCTCAATACTTTCCTAAAGGTACCTGAAGCATACCCTAGGCTTCTGTAATTTTGCATTGTAATTTGCATGGGATTTCTTCAGCAAAACAAACAAGCAAAAAAACCCCAAAAGCCCTTTGGTAGAAAGCCTGGATGGACACTGTTGATAATTTTTTTTTTTT